CTCCAGCTATCACCACGCTCACGATCATGGGCATCATCACGAGCACGAGCACAAGGACGGGCACGAGCATCCACATCACTCCCATGAGCATAAGTCGTCTCACGAACATGAGCATTCTCACGAGCATCAGCAGTCTCACGAACATCAACATTCTCACGAGCATCATCATTCACATTCGACCGGAGCGCACATGTGAGATGCAGGCCTTTCTTTTTTGAAGCATTGGCTTTTTCGCCCCCCCACATTGCAGTAGATTCCTAAGATGCAATGTAGCATAGTGTGGGTGCAGATTCCGCCAATTGAAAGGAGCAATGTCGCTTTGTGTTGCTATCTGCATGAGGTTTTATGTGTACCAAAAGCTTGCGGTGGATGAATATTGAAGTCTGCATTTTTGAGAAGAATCGTATTCTGCAGGTACCTTGTAAGCTTAACAACAAGCTGATTCCTTCTTGCTCTTGAATCTTCATAGTCTATCCTCCAATTGCCGGGATCTTCCAGTGCGTAATCATCCCCGCTGAGTCTGAGCCAAAACATCCCATCTCCTTTTGACATGTGTCGCCTCCTTTCCATTGTTTGCACATCCATCAGATTGCTCTTATCACACGTGTTGTCCATTCAATCCAATCCAACGTCCTCAAAAACTTCCTAAATAGTAATTAATGGAGCCTCCGATGTTGCAGCGAAGGGGCCCATTCACACTCGGAAGCAACTGAGTTCGTCGGTCCAGACGGCAAGGTTTACCACAGCCACGATGGCCTGGCCCCCCATTCTCATGAGCCAATTGAGTCCCCGGGTTTTTTCACACAACGAGCTGCCCCACTCTCAGGGAGGGACTTTGTCGAGAGGGGGTTCACTGTGGGAATAGGGGGACCAGTTGGCACAGGGTGAGAAAACAGAACTTGGATCAAATTCTGGGCTTATTTGCTCCTCAAACGTTTTGTAACCAATTTCTCCACAAAAGAAAATTTTGTGTAGACGCACATAGAGCTCAGACCGGTCAGTGGGCAGATATGAAGGGATGGTTTGCCCAATGAAAGAATTGCTGATTGAAACCTTGCATATGTAGACTATCCCACTCTAATCGCTTCAAAAGCAGGATCTGGCCGAAGGTCAGAAGGTGGTCGGATGATTCTCTCAAGAGACCTCTGGTTGTGATCCTTTTTGAGTGGAGCTTTGATTTGATTCAGGTCTGCTTCACTTGATCTAGCTGAGGCGCAAGCTTGATTCCAAAGCTTTATTTCGAAAGCTAAAACCTTGTCAAGGTGACCGTGACCTGTTCTATGTAAGCAGGGCCGAGAAGTAGACCTGTCTTCCTTACAGCGCACCATATAGTTCTGGAAGAACAACATGTGGCTATTTTGGACCCAGAGAGTTGATAACAATCTCAGCAATGTCCAAGACCCAATGTGTTTTCTCCGCAGCAAGACGGCTCTCATGCTCGCTCTCTGCCGGACCTTCCGGGACAAGTACAGCATCGCCGCAGTGAGTCCCCACCATCCATATTACAATCTACGAAGAAACACACCATCTACATGTACACCATTCATTAAGAATCTACACTTTCAGACCTTGAAGTCTGGCTGCACGAGAGGACACCCTCAGCAGGGATTTCAACCCCGGAATCCTGTCACCAGGCTGTGTCACGATCAAGGCTTGGCTGAGGGGCCTTCACGAGTCTTTCGACCTCCTCGGTACTTCCAAGTCTTCATGCCTATCTTACGACATCGCGGAAAGCGACATGGTGCCAGGTCGAAGGCAGAGGCTCTTCGCACTCAAACCACAGCCTGCTTTCACACATTCAATCAAGGAGTAGAAAACATACTGTTTAATTTAGTATGGCGTCACCTCGCTCTAGATTTCGTATCTCTGGCCGGATAGCCTGTGTGTAGGTTTGCTTGCACTTGTCTTTGTTAGACTTCCGAAATTCAACAACACATCTTGTCAACAGATCTGCTTCGGTTTTACATTCTTCCCCTAGGCCCGCGCTACCCGTCTTGTGCACGGTACTTACCCGCCCTTACCTGCCTGCATCCTCTGCCAAAAGAGCTGATTCTGCTCATACCTTCGATCCTATCTCCCTTCTCTGTCTCGCTCGCCACTTTTGACCCTGGCACTCCTCCTCTAATCCCCATCTCGCTTTTACTCACTTTCTTATTTCCCGCCTTCCCCCCCTTTCAGGTCACGAACGACATCTTCACCCAAGAGGACGGCGAGTTCCTGGTGCGAAATGGCGCCCTGCCAGCGGAGCGCATCCGCGCCGTCGAAACGGGGGGGTGCCCTCACGCCGCAATCCGTGAGGACATCAGCATCAACTTGGGGCCGTTAGAGGACCTCACAGCGAAGTTCCATGCTGACATTCTGCTCTGCGAGTCTGGGGGAGGTGAGGCCTTGCGCTGTGTCTTCGGAACGAGTGCCGATAGTCTGTGCTGCTTGGTTTAAGAACTGGCGCTGTGTCTTTGGAACGAGTGCCGATAGTCTGTGCTGCTTGGTTTAAGAGGGCAAGTCACCACTGTTAAAGACAATCACATCAATCTGGGGCCGTTGGAGGACCTCACAGCGAAGTTTCACGCGGATATTCTGCTCTGCGAGTCTTGGGGAGGTGAGGCCTTGCGCTGTGTCTTTAGAACGAGAACCGGTAGTCGGTGCTGCGTTTTGGAAGTATGCAAGTCGTTTTTGGTAGAGGGTGAAAACTTTTGAGCCTGGACACATTCCGCCGTCCTAATTGGCATGCCGTCCGGCGAACGAGAAGTGACCTGGCACAATTGCCTGGAACACTGCACATATTATCTCATGCCTGCGCCTATCTTACTCCATCAAAGAACGGTTCCGGAGGCCTTTCTGAAAGTATCCCTTTGGGGGCTGAGGCAACGAAGTAAGGAGGATTTTCACGAAGTCTGCCTCAGTGAAAAGCGTCGGCGTTAGTGGACGACCTGGTGCGCAAAGTAAATAAGACCGCTTGGTGAGTCTGACTTTGCTATTGTCAACCTTTTCAAACCCTTCTCAAAAACTCTTTTGGGCAAACCGTGTTGGATTGCTCACAATGCCGGTAGAGAATGCGACTGGCGCAAAGCAGTCCAACACATTCTGTTTGACTTGTCGGCCTTTGGAACATAAGTGGCTCATTGCCGGCACAAAGTTTATGCTGTGAGCATCAACCAATGCGCGCAAGGGAAAGGCATCCCTCCTTGTGCACCGGCCCGCGCAGGCTGCCTTTGTGCGCGCATCTCAGTTGGATCTTTGGGAGAAAACCGACATCTCGGCACAACTTCCGCTGTTCCTCCTAATTTCAGCGGAATCAACTTCCGTCCGACGGAATGTCCTTCCCCGACTGCTTTCGCATTGGGGTGATTGCATGTTACGACCGCAATTTACCTTGAGGCATGCTTATTAAGAGGCATCGAATCGAGGAAGATCGGTCCAACGGTAGAGTGGTTCGGAGGAAAGTGGTCGAATTGACACATGTCTGCTAACGTCCTCTCTGTCTTTGCGCAGATAATCTTGCGGCCAACTTCAGCCGGGAGCTGGCCGACTACATCATTTACATCATCGACGTGGCGGGGGGTGACAAGATTCCGCGCAAGGGGGGGCCCGGTATTACACAGGCCGATTTGCTGGTGAGGGATCCCCCTCGAGTCTTGAGTGTACTAGGAAGGAGTGCTGTTGTGTGAAGCTCCTAAGCAGACCATTGCGCCAAGGCTGAGATCCTGTCCGTCTGGAGCGAGCGCTGAATCTGCGTAGGGCTCCGATTGTCGAATGAATCCTCAATGCTCAAATCCTGAATGATACCGCACGTGCGATCACGTTCACATGGCTCGAGAAGCAACATTCACCGCCGATTGCCGAAGCTTTCAGATGTCGACAACAGAATGGTTCAGGAAGAAATATCGCGGCTGCTATTCCCAAGTACTCCGTTCATTTGCCAGCGTCCGCTCAGCATCTCGACTCTGAATGGCACCGAAGTGTATTTGGTCTTGGCAATACGCGCCTACTAATCAGCGTCCTCAGCCGCTGCGCCTGCTGTTGCTCCAGAAGTCATTGAAAACGAACTCGATTACGCCGTCTCAGGGTCCGTGAACGAGGCGCCTTGGGCGTTCAGAAGGCACCTCCAAAAAATGACACCTCAGGTTTTTTTTGCCCGTCAATGACTCCGGTGCAGTCGTGTCTTCCCGGGCAAGATCATTGCGAAAGGAACAGAGCAAGGACGTTTTGGATTCTGCAGGTAATTAATAAGACAGATCTTGCGGAGGCGGTGGGGGCTGATCTGGGCGTCATGAGGCGGGACGCCCTCAAGATGCGCGACGACGGACCTTTTGTCTTCGCACAGGTGGGCTGACCGCACGGGCTTGCATTCAAGCTTTAACCCATGCTTGTTCCGTTCGATGCTAACTCTACCCTGTGAAGTTTTGTTTGACCTTTTTCGAACGAGTGTGTACTGCTTCTGGAGAATATCAGATGCTTCTCTGTGGGAAAGGATCAGGATGTAAGCTCTTCTTGACAACCATAATATACACTGTTCTAGAAGATTGCGAACACAGGTTTTGTTTAGGCGAAGCCAGAACCGACTGGAATGCAATGTGAGGCCGATAAAATGGAAATATCACAAAAGGGTTTTCCTTGTGAATTCAGGTGAAGCACAACGTCGGGGTGAAGGAGGTTGCAGATCACGTGTTGGCGGCTTGGGCAGCAGCAACTCATGGAACCGTGAAACAGTGACCGGAGCGGAGCCTCAGGACGCCATTATTGGTATCCTTTATCGGTAAGGTTCGTAACGGGTGGGGAAGACCATTATACGTTTGACTCATGCGAGTCGGCAAGGGAACGGTCGTAAGCGCTTGATCTTTATTATTGTTTATTGGACCTGGCCGTGACATGACTAGGACATTCATTCGAGACATGCAGCCAGTATGATCAGACTGTAAGACGAGACTCCAGAAGAATGTAAATAGATAGTGGTCTAGGAGGGACACAAAGGCTGATTGCGGATGTCAGAACCGTCGCTGACCTTCGCTCACGCTCTTTGCAAGTTTGTCATCAAAGTAGGTTAGTTCAACCCAGGCCCGGCAAAGGAACGGTACGTTACAGGCCGTCAGCCTTTCGGCCTCTAGTTATGGAGCCTTCGGCCTAATGTGCAGGCTAGGCTAGTAGAAATCAGCAAGGCCAGCCTGTCTTCCTGATTTTGGTCGGCATGATGTTGAACCGAGGATCTTTTGCGTCATGTCTAATCAGAAAGGAGGGACTGTTGCTTTTTAAATTTTATTCATCAGTCAGTCATGGACTTCAGTCAGTCATGGACTTCAGTCATGGTCTTCATTGTTGCAACGAATTTTGACGTGATATCATAATCTGGCTCAGGCCAGACCGTGTTGATTCCATGCTATAGTCCGATCAAGTTCATGCAAGTGCGAAAATGGTCTGCATCATTGTAAATGATCGGATAGGATTCGACGATGATTGGACTCATGTAAGACACCATGAATCATGTATACACGCCATCGAAGACTCCATGCTTCATTGAAGCCGCCGCATGCGCGCGGTCACTTACCATGCGCGCGGCCGGTTACGTATACTGAGCTAGCCGGCCAGCTATGGAGCGGCCGCCACGCGGGCCATTGAACGACCTGAGCGCGGCGGTACATGTGATACCAACGTCCATGTGTGGACGTACGCGTCGGACAGCGCGCGCAACGCTCATGCAGGCTGCCCTTTAAAAATGACACGATGATCTGATGGTGCTGATATTTGTACGTCCGACGAAAGAAGTACGCATATCCCCGAAATCGGATCTGATTCGAGCTGCCGCCTGCACGTGAGGACTCGATTCCTTTCTTGGCTGAGAGTCGATCGGACGAGTTTTATCTTGTCCGCATGCAAGCTAGCTAGTTGAGATTCCAACATGCCATGGGCCTAAGGATCTAAAGTGCATGTTTTTCGTGGTTCGATCTGGTACTTCTTGCAAGTTTGAGACTGTATGGCAGCGATTAGTGGATGCAGCAGACAGATCATGACCAACCTATCCGAGTCGATCAACGGCACTCGTCCTACCAATCAAGCGGGCGCCAGCTGCAGATTCAGACTTGCAGAAGGAGTTTGCAAAAGGGAAGCCCAGCCTCTTCTTTGCCAGCCTGTCATACACAAAGTGATTGAGTGAATCGAAGGGTCGATATTTTGACGTGGTTCGCTCAGTCACTGTCAGGTTCGTTGTCTATATATCAAAGTGGTCTTCTTCTCTATCCTTGCCTTTCTACCGTAATTGCCAGTACTACTTTTACAATTTGACGATGCGAATCTATGCTTCATTGTAGTCTCTATGATCTGTCTTTTGGATGCTATGAATGCACTTATCAGTTCTGCAGTCTCAGTTTCTGATGTTGGTAGTTATCTGCTCAGGAAAAGGCTGAAACATATGCAGTAATCTTTCTTCCCACTCCCTCAGACTGCATTTTAAAATCTCTCCCTTCCTTCACGAGTCTCATTGGATCCTCCCCCCTTGCACCCGCTTGAAGACAGGTCGGCCCCGGGTTGAGACGCCCCTACCCTCAGCCGCTTGCGCTTCAGGATTCGTGCCTGTCTGTGAAGCTAGAGGCTGCGCAAAACGCGCTCCAGGCCTGGGCGTTTTACCAATCGGCTGGCTGGCTCCCCGGGGGCGTGGCGGAAGGCCGGTTCCGCTGCGCGAGTTGACCGGAAGTGCTCCGAATCCTGTTCCGGGCGCTCTTGGGGGGCTAAACACCCGGGAGCCGCTTCCGCTGCCGAAGCCGTCCGAAGCGGTACCCACCGGGGGCCGGAACGCAGGCTGCAGCCCGGTGAAGTGAAGCGGAGGCCGTCCATCGGGCTGAACGGAAGACAAATTTGAAGATTAGTGAAACAGCTTCATAGGAACTGCCTTTTCAAGCTTATCGCAAGAGCTAGGAAAGGAGAAACATTTGATCGCCATTCGATAGTGCACAATGTCTGCACGATCGGTTTGTATGAGTCTGAATGAGAGAATCCATACAGATCTTCGTGAGGTAAAGCTTTGAAGGCCAGACAAAATCTTGGTGGGAATACGAGTGGTCGAAAGCTCACTCTTCCAGGTTGCGCCGAAGGATCGGAATAAGCCAGCGTTGGGCGGGGAGCGGACGGGCCGCCCAAAGCGTTTCCAAGCGCGTAACCCTGCCTCCTGACCGTACCCAAACCGGATGATCTGAAAAAGACGCTATTACCTGTGGTATTTTTGTCGAGCGGCCCCAGACTCGAGATCATGCCTCCATTCCCGAAATTCCAAGGGTATTTGTGATGACGGGAATACTGGATGGCTCAATGATTTTACTCTCAGATAAGGGTGAAGCAAGAAGCATGAATGATCTGCTCCATGATCGAGCAGATTTGGAACCTTGCCAGAGATCCGCAAAAAAGCATCAGGATCGCTCCGCTCTAAGTCAAACTTCATTCTGCAGATTTTCAATCCAATCAGGTGCTCTGAATACAAAGCTGCCGCGACTGACCTGAAGCTCACGCTGCTGTTCACCATCTCGGACACCTTCTGATGGATGCCTCGCTCGTGCTCGAACGGACTGTAGTCACAGACTTCCAACTGAACGGAGAAGTCTCAAGTCAAATACGAGTTTTGCTTGCTTCTGTTGGGGACCACTTTGCAGAGGAGCGGATTGCCAAGTTGGCATGTAGGAGGTTCTGCTTTTGCTCAGAGGAAAATGCACATGGAGAGAGGCTGAGTCAGCACCTACTTTCTTGAGCGACCTGGCGACTTCCTGGACAGCCGCAGCCGGAAGCGGAGTCGATGAGCTCGAAGGCTTTGGCAGCACCTCCTCGGACCCAGCAATCCTCTGCATCATCCCACTCAAACTTTCACTATGAAAACAGCGTCTTTCTTAGAAGAAGAACAGCGAGTGTCATCGAGGCTAAGCTGAATATATATGAGAAGTGATATACCAGAGTTCCTGCGGATTGTTTCGTCTGAGCATGACCAAGCAGAACGCAAAACGCTCAAGGCGGTGCGCCATACGACAAAAAACACACGATCGACAGTGGAGATTCTTACCCGCATCAGGAGGGATCCCTCTCCGGATGGAGTCAGCAGGTAGCTTTGTGGAAGAGGCGATTCTTCTCCAGAATCGACGAGGTACTTCGACCGAACGAAAAGTCCATTGTCAAGATCCTGAAGTGCCTCGCAGACGGATAGAAACACTGCAAAGAGAGAAGCTGTAACTTTATTTCTGAAGACGAAATCAGGTCAAGCAAAAGCACTGCACTCGCTGACGTTGGTCCTTCTCCAGGTAAAACTTGGATAAAAACCTGCATAAGCTTCAGGGATCATGGCTAAGATCGCACACAATGCAAGCAAGCAGGAAAAATTACAAGGGATGGAAAGTCTCAGAAGAAAAGTAGTTTTGATTACCTTTCTCATTCCAGATGAGGGGGTCCATGCCGGTCATGGGGTCGAACTCGAGATCGGAAGACGCCGTCACCGTCAAAGGATCTCCAAAAAGTAAAACTGCATGTATAGATAGCGAACCGTCCCTAGGAAGATCTTCAGGCAAACAAAGGTAAAGGCGATTCACGGAGGCAGACCCCAAGTCAGATTACAGCAGCGTACAAAGACGAGAGGACAACCTGAATCTATCAGAATTTCCCCCAGGCTCACGAATGCTTCTTGACAGAGCAATCGAGATGCTTCCTTGAGCAATAGTCTTACCTTCATCCAAGGTGCTCAGATTGATCAGCTTCACAACTTGGATCTCCATCTTCTCAGAGTGGCTTGTCGCTAGTGCACGGCTCCCAGAAGTATCCCTTGTCGGAGGCATATGCAAGACAGTGTCGGCCCCAATCTGAACGCTGTCGGAGTCGCAGTCTCGCTCATCGAGATGCTGAGCAGTGACTGGGCAGCAGAGAACTTCGGATCCCGAAAGCAGAGGACTACCAAGTATTGCGCCGTGACATCTGCATGTCTGCAGAGAAGGGGATTTCTGTTTAGAACCATCAGAATGCAAATGAAATGTTCGCGTGATACTTAGAATGTTCAAAAGCGATTTGAGCAGCGGTTTCCGCAGATTCGAAATCCTGCTTACCGCTTCGAATAGCACGTACAAAAAGCAGGACGAAAAGTCAACAAAAAATCTGCAGCATACGGGCGGTAACCTCTCAAAGGAAGAGCAGCTGGAGGCTTACCTTGACCGGACCAATCGCTGGCGACAGCCGAAGGAGGCTTGCACTAACGGAAACGTGGATTGTTGACGTGGTTTGTGCCAGGACCCGTGGAAAACTGAGCGTCGCGGATCGTCTCTTGAGCCTTCCGCTTTGCACGAGAAGCTGAAGCCACGCTTTTGCCAATGCATCAAGCGGCACCGGTTCTGTAAATTGAAAAGGAACGTGGTGAGCAAAAGCAGTCTTTTCAAACGGAAGCCCTATCAATAAAGGTCACTCTCAAACACAGCGGTTGAGCTAAAGATTACTTTAGGAGATTTTCAAGAGGACTGTCGACATCAAAACGTTGTGCCTGCAGGTTTAAGGCGGCTGAGAGTCTTTGATGAAGGTCGCCGTGCCAGCAACTCGTATACAAATGTCTGCAGCTTTACTGCCTACCCACTGGAAGACGCTCCATTTTGCAATTCTCGAACTCAGCGATAGCGATCACAGCTTCTGACAAAGCGCGGTTGTGTTGTTCATGAGGTTGAGATTCGCCATCTGGCTGTTGATCTGGAATGTGCTCGGTGTGGACAAAGTCTATGCTCGTGTTCTTGTCCGCAGCCACCTGGCAAGGTCAAAAGCAGATCAAAATTTTCTTGCTCGATTGACAACAGATTGTGTTTTTTAACGACGTGAAAAAGGATATGAAGTGATGGGAGGCAGCACCATGTATTTCAGGTTCTTGATGCTATCGTGCGTAGAGTTCTGCTTCACAAGTGCACTTAGGGAAGGCTAAAAAATCTTCGATCGCTGAGAGGCACAGATTCTTGTGTCAGTTGATCTCTTACCTGAAGGAAGGACCGAAGCGAGTCAGCACCCTCGAGGAATTGGTCTATTATGTAGATTATCCGCCTTTCCGCTGCACCGTCAGAACTCCAGACATGCGTGTATCTTTCTCCAGGTAGAAGTGCACTTAGGCAGGATACTGCAGAAACATACTGCTTCTCGTTACTTTTCAGCTTCAAAACGTTTTGAAACTCTCGTTCTCAGATGCCTTCAACGAGCAAGAGCAGGAGCAGATTGCAATGTCCTAAAGTTGAATGATCTTGACATCGAAGCAAGCATATAAACACCAGCAGCATGGCGACCATCCTTTCTCACTTCTTGGAACATATCAAACCTGGCTCAAGTCAGGAATCCTGATGATCTATGATCTACTCACCGTGCTTGTTCTCGAGGACTTGAGCGAGAGGAGTACCACTTTGAAACATATTCGCGTTCCCCCGTTTTTGTGAGAGAGTATTTATAGCTGTGTGGTATTCTTTCAGGTTGAATAATCCATCGTACCTTGAATAAAGCAACTCTACCTGCAAGGGGTGCAGAATACATACTTTTCAGAAACTCAAAATGCCGCACCTAAAAGCCTGCAAAAGTGCCTTTATTGGGACACCTGAGCTTAGGAATCAACAGTCCATTTTCACCCCTACGTCAGATGATTTCTTTTTCGTTTGTCAGAATCAGAAGCATAAGTACTAGTGGCATGTTTGTAGAGGGTGAGCAAGCTAACCTCGTAGGCGAATTCGCCAGGATTCCAGGTTGTGTAGCAAACAGAGAGTCTAGAGGTCGAAGACTCCAGCTTTTCCAGCACGATCAGATTTGCCAGCCTCTGCAAGCACTGCCATCCAAAATGGTCCTTTCAAGTCAGACGTAGGCAGTCGTCATTTTGCACAACACCGGAAAGAACTTATTACATACTGCCCTCTTCAAGGATTGGCGATACAGCATAGTGATACTGCTTCAGAAGTTCCGTCAGTTTGGAATACTTGCTGCTCAGAAGTTCCATCAAGAAAAGAATGATATGTACTGCAGGTCTGATAAGCTGGTCAGAACGTTATTTCGAGCCCGAAAGATCGAAGTTCTCGCCAGTCATCTTCTTACCTCTTCAAGCACGAGAGTAGCTCTTGAATCCAGCGTGCAGACATCCACCACAATGCATAGGTCAGCCATTCTCTAGAAGGACCTTAACCTAAGGATGCAGTGCTCTTCTAGTGCTTGGCCTCAGAGATCAAGGGTCCCTCGTGTCTCTTTGTTCGCTTTTCCTGACAGAGGCTCTTTATGCACACCAACTCGGTCATACCTCGTGACTTCTTTGGGCTCACAGGGTTTGCCTCACGGGTGACCTTTACGATAAAAATAAGCAGCCCGCCCTCTGTGACGCTTACAATCTCCTGAATTTTGGTGCGCACATATGCCCAGATCCAATTGAAGCTTTACCTTCCTGGACGTCTAGAAGCTAGTCACCAACCCTCCTCTGTTGCTGATCTGCTGGGACTATATATCAATGCTTCGCCTCTTGGAACTTGCAAGGCCCCCAATGACCCCTGTTTCGCGACGAAGCGCTACAGCGCTCTGAGTTCTCGAAGGACATGAGCCGAAACTTTCAGCCTGCAAGGCTGCGCAGGGGACCACTTCCGTCCCGAATTCATTCTCTCAGCCTCCAAAACCGCTTCTTCTGGAAGGACAATTGTAAATTGACTGGATGCCCAGCCACCTACCTAATCTTACAGCAACTTGTACGGAGAAGTTTGATCGATGTTGCAATCGATCCCGCGCTGCATACTCCCAAGTAGCTCAAATGCCAGCCTCATCAATTGTCGCGTCGCTGGGTTTTTGATGGGACCGAAAAAAAAAACCGAATTTTCCCGCGCCTGACCAAACGACGCAACAGCAAGGCGAGCTGCACTCTTCAGATGTGCAATTCAGGCAGATATGCTTGGGAAGGCAAAGTTTGAATTGAGCAGGGCCGGGGAACCGAGGCGCACGCGCACGCTGCCTCAAGGCTGGGAAGGCAAGCCTTTGATGTGACCGGAAACAAACTTCCGGGCCGAATCCTCTGACACCTGCTTCCTCTGCGGCACGCGCCTTCACACGGTTCACATGCACCAGCTCGTCGCTGATCTGGGTGAGATTGGGTTAGCAGCACCTGACCGTGAAAGCTTAAATTCTGGTCGTCTTAAGCTTTCACGGTCAGGTTTTGCTAACCCAGGTCCTGACCAGCAGATCAGACAGGTTTATCACATTTTCCTCTGGGTGGATGAAACCTTTGGACAGCAGTTTGACATCAAGTGTCATGCCGGGTCGACTTGGCAACGTAAGAATGCATGAGTCATGTCAAACTTCAAAGGAGTGCTTTCCACGAACATTCATCGGTCAAGTCGCCGTTCAAATAAGCACAACGAGACTTCAAGTTGATGCATCGCGAATCTCGCGCGCATGCGCAAGGACGCTTACAGCCATCCAAACCCATCATGATAAAGAGTGCGCGTGCACTCAGGGCACAGGACCACTTATTGCATGAGGCGTAAGAAGATTCTGAAGCATCTCCTTGCGAGGAAGTCTGCAGCAGCTGTAGCGCGAAAGGGTTCGTGCTAAATAATGGATTCAAAGCGCATAAGGTCATGTTTGAAGCGCGCTAGTAACAGGCTCCTCTGTAGACTCCAGAAGAAGTAATTATAAGCAGGTGCCAGAGCGTGAGCCTTTCAAACGGAATCTTATGGGGTCCATTGGAAGAAAGGTTCAAGCACATGCATCAGGGAAACCGGAGCATGATCATCAGCAAAGAGCCATACCTAGAGATCAAGTTTCAAGTTTTGATGACCTCGCTCAGGCGTGTTGAACTCCATACTGACCTGCGCATCAAATACGCGGAAAATGGCAGGCGGCGTGGACATGGAACAGTACAGATCGTGCGAAAGCTGAAGTCAGAGCGCGCAGAAGAAGTCACGGAAGCCTTGCAGACCTTCGCATATAGATCAGTCTCATCCAAGTCAAGGGAAACGACAATTCTGCAGGAGCGAGCTCACACTTATAGAGAACGTATACGTGAAGCTGCTGAGGCAGACGTTCTGCTGTCCGCCAGATAAGGAAGGGAAAGAAGAGCAAGAAAGACTAGGATTCACGAAGCGCGATGCGGATCTCCTAAGAGGTTCATCCACCCAGGCAATCCTGCACATGGCTCGATCGAAGGTTGTAGCCGAATTTTTAACGGCACACTCTGGAGCCAGTGAGATGCTCTACAACATTCTCCTCACAATCATCGACCACGAGATCATCTCAAAAATGTATCAAGAGTCAAGCAGTTCCACTCTAAATCAATTGCTGGACGTTTTCTTGGGCTTGGTGTCTTTCGTGCGAACCAGCAGAGGATTCAGAAGCTTCCTCGTAACTCGCGGCGAGGTCATGAAGTCCGCTAAGCGGATCTTCACACCCGAATTCTCAAGAATGGCAGGTTCAGCAGGTAAGGTCTCCAGTATCAGAGAGACCATAGCTCTGTTTTTGTCGATGACATCGAGATATCCAGAGACCCACGTACGACTGGTTGATTGATCAAGGAATAGTAGAACTCGTCTCTCAGATGTACAAGACGCAGCGACGCCTGAAGACCGGGGGAACAGAGTTACGAGATTCATTCGTTTCTTCTTCTCCAACATCATCTGGCAGGAGATCGAATGGCAGAAGGAGGCTCAGAGAAACTGGAGCTTTCAATGAGCTGTCAAAGGTCTCTGCCCTGATTCAGAAAGCGCACTTCTCTCCTTTCTGGGTGTTTTTGGAGAGGGTTCCGCGAGACGGCGAGGAGTCGTGGCTTGGAGAGCCGGTCATTCTGAAGATTGCCAAAAGGATGCTGAACAAGGAAATCGCAGTCGCAGCCGTGTGCTCGTTCCCAGGATGCGACGCCGTGGAGGACTTCGAAGAGCCTTTCAGCGGATGTGCCCGCTGCTGCCGCGCCCCATACTGCAGGCGAGTGCAAACCAGACTTGCTCTATTGAATTCGTTGGGTAGAGAAAACTAATAACTTGTGCCTCTTCTAGAGCTCAAAGTCTTGATGTTCAGGGAAGACAGCTCAAAAATACGAACAACGTGAGAAGCGTTGAATACCAGCGCCTTCAGAAAGCAGATTCAGCGGTATACGGTACAAAGGGTTGACCAATCCCAAGGATGCTTGGAGGCGCATGTCTTTCCGTTTCAAGTCAAGGGATTTAAGAGATCCTGTTCGCTAATTGCTCTCTTGTATTCTTCTGCAGCAAGCAGCATCAAAAAGCGCACTGGCCCGCGCACAAAGAGCTGTGCCGCCCGCTGAAGAGCAGCCTTGTCAAGTTTCGCTGGACGTTAGATGAATCTACAAACATCGAATCCATTTCCTGTTCCTCGTAGTTTGAGATTGCACCTTGATCTCCGGATTTCACGTTTTGCAGACGTCTTTGACCTGATTAGACGAGCCCGAAGTCTGAATGGCTCTAGTATTTAGAATCTGCTGTCATATAGCTGTACGTTTGCCTGCTAGCCGCTATTATTGAGCGGACCTAAGACTTCGGAATGTAACCATGTACGAGAAGAATGGATGTCAACCTCTAGAATGCTTCATGAGTGACAATTGTTGCACAAGGAATGGCGGTTGAATCATACATAATTTGTCTGGACTCATGAATGATGTAGCGGCAGCATAATGTGGATGTTGCGTCCGTGCATTTCTGGACTGTTCGAATGTGTGTCAAAGGAGTGACCAGAACGGTTCCGTTCTTCGAGCCCTTGGGTATCTCGGTTTGTAAACGGAAAGATCCTTCTTTACTCGAACTTCGTGTTGCGATCGTGTGCAATGAATGGTCATCATGCAGATTTGAAAGCAGCTTATCCGCGACGACGGATTGGGGCGCCAAACGACGCGCCCGGGGTGTCTTTGCGAAAGCGTCACAAGATAAGATGAAACGAGATTGCTGGAGTCCAAGATACCAGGAATGAGGTGGGCTTCTCCGATCCAATTGTTTCGTGTCGCAGGTGCGGGCCAGCTCGACCTATGAGGCTTCGAATAATATTGCATGACTTCTATGACTGCTCGCGGTAACGCCGCGGTATCTAGATCGACTAGACGGATGTTCATGCAGCTCATGAGCTAGCTACGCACACTATGATGAGCCTGATTTCAATATGGGCTGGGCTGATTTGTATTGAGGTCATGCGGGCTTATCATGCACGTAAGCTGGCCATCGCTGATTCAAGAACTCGATCGCCGTTTTCAGACATCATTGCGTCACCATGAACTTTTGGAATAAGCTCGCCCTGATCATGCGGCATCGTTTTCATAGACAGGCATTTGTTCTGTGGACGTCATGAGCCGGCAAAGGAGTCATTCATGAATCATACAGATCTGGAGTTCCTTTGCAGCAAGCGAAAGAAGTGCATACGACTCGGATCTGAGCTTTTCGGGCTCGGTAAC